GTGTAAAATACGAGTCCAAGCAGCAGCCTCTTCAAGGCCATGTGGAAGGTGGCAAAGCCAGCCTGTCACTCTTGGTGACTCTATTTCTCTGTTCCCAGTCTGTGTGGCATCTCTCCCCACAGGGAGTATTTTCCATTTTGTCTTTAATTGCTCCTTGTTGCGATGACCTGTCAGCTGAGGCTGCTTTCTGTCGCTTGTTGCCATGTCTCTTCCCCATTTAGTCAGCCAGTCAGGAGCATCATTTGATTGAAAATCTGAGTTTACAGAAAACACTGTGTCAGATATTCAGTTGCTCTGTGAGGTTGTCTCTCAGGGCTTCCTGTCTCCATGACAGAGGGAAGGTCTTCCCATTCTGAGGTCTCACGTAGCTGAGTGGAAAGGAGAACCATGTATATGCGTTTTTGGTGAGGTGGGGAGGACGTAAGAAGATGAACAAGGTACTTTCTCTGTACCATGTCACCCAGGCCCCTCATCCTCTGTCTCTTTATGCTTCGTAGAAGATCCTCAGCAGAACTTCAGTTCAGGAACCAACCCACAGTTGACCCTTCTTTGAGTTTATAAAGCTGCAAATGGCAGGGGAGATTTCCCGCCAATCTCCCTTTGAGCTTCTGGTACATCTGAACCAACAGAGAGGCTCAGCCTTGGGGTTAACAGTACAATCTCCTATAGGCTATGACATTAGGGAGTCTGGTACTCAGAGCTGTGGGGTGTGACTTCACCAAGTGCTCCATGGGAGAAAGATGAGTAATCTTCTCATATCTGATTCGCTGCCTCTGTAAACCTTCTGGAGGAACAGCTATTAGTCGGTTCCAACTTGACAGTACATAACTAAAGCAAGCCGTGGTTGTAGAGCTCCTCTTTTAAACAACAGTGCTTCAAGTGGAGATGTACTATAACTTCTACACAGGTTTGTGTACTCCATTTATGTCCCACTGTAGATAAGATCCAGTTGATCTTGGTAACAGCCCTAGAAGAATAAGAAGGTACAGCTTATAAAACAAGTATTAAGTCTGTTGTTATTATGTTGTTGAGTCTGAAGTGACCCCAAGCTGACCCTCCCACGGGTTTTCAGGGGCTGTAAGTCTCACAGGAGTTGATTCCCTTTCTTTCTCCTGTGGAGCAACTGGTGGATTAGAACTACATGCCTTTAGGTTGACAGTGCAGCTGCTTACCTCTAGGCCATCAGAACTCCCTGCGTTAAGATTAGACAGGTATTAAGGCTCTCACCTTTACAAATAAATAAAATGGAACTCACTGAGGTTTCTCAATTATTAATTAGAAAGTTGTGGGGTTTTTGGTTTGGGGTTTTTTCCCCACCTTACTGGAAACTTATAGTAGTATAAGGACTATGAAGAAGATTGAGAGCTCACTTTTACGGGGCCTTTGAGAGAAGCCTGGTTATCTTTTCCTGATTTGGTCCTGCCTCTGATCCTCCTGTGCATCTCAGGAATCTGTATTCAAGTTCCTCACCTTTCATGGTGCTTGGCTTAGTAGCTTCTCAGACCTGTATCCTTTTGAAAGGTTTCCCCGCCCCACTCCCTCCACCTCATGTTAGGATGTCTGAGCTCCTTTCATTTACTGTTCAATGGAGCTCAATATCCCTTTGGGATGAACTATTGTCACACATTAATAATTAACCTTTACAGGAAGTTCGAGCATAGGCACTTAACCCAAATGCAGGGAAAGCCAATGTTTGGTTATGACACAGATCTCATTTGCTGAGGCATAATCATGGGAGTTAGAAATAGGAGTTGCCAGTCATTAAGCGCTGATTGTTTCTTTCTGGTTCATTCCTTTCAGTGATTGGCTAGGGGTCCTCAGTTTTCCCCCTTCACTCACCATCGGTTCAGCAGGATGACTAGAGAAATTCAGCTTTCCTGTTGGGGGGAAAAGGGAAGGTGAACACGTGTGACTTTCCAAACAGTGTTACAGGTGAATTTCATGGGTGTTGCTAACAGTACAATGAAAGGTGTTCCATGTGGTAAGGAACAGGGCCTGTGAAGTCAAACTGCTTGGGATGAAATCCTGATTTGCCACTGTAGGCTGGTGCCTTAATGCCCCTCTGTCTCTTTCTGTATCAATAAGGTGGAGAAATGATGATAAGTATTTCACATGTGAGGATCTTACGGGCTGACATTCATTAAAACATTCAGCACAGTGCCTGGCACATAGTAAGGTCTCAATAAATGTTGGTATCATTAGCATTTCCTGTGTTACTGACTTGGGCTCAGGCGAAGGTTACATAATTGGGGGGCAGGGGGTGTTTTGATGCTTACTAATTAGTTATATACCATTCATGAGTTTACTATTAAACTGCTCTGCTTGACTCAGTGTTGGCACTGGTAGAGAGAGGGATGGTAATTGTGTATTACTAGCCTATTCATTGCTATTGAGTTGGAACAGACTCATAACTGACCTTCCAAGAGCTTTTCAGAAGTTAAAAATCACACAGGAGAGTTCCTATTTCTCTCCTTCCAGGTCAATGTCCTCTGTGATATTTATAGCCTCCGAAAACCCACTGGAGGGTCAGCTCTGAGCCAAATAATCTTTAGTATAGTTGGATATTAGGAGCTGAATGATATGGATGGACTAGAATATTCCATCCAACTAACTTTCTCTTACTAGATGCATTGTAAGACTTAATTTAGCACTGAAGTCTTGTATTTTACTGAAAATAGAGATGTTATTGTTGTTATGTGCTGTTGAGTCACCTACGACACATAGCAACGTGATACAAATATCTCAGGACTTGGGAAAAAAAATGGAGGATTATTAACAGCAACCCCCTTGACAGCTGAGCTTGGCTTTGCCCTTGCCCTGCATCATCTGTAAGTGCTTTACATGCACTAACTCATTTAATCCTTACAAAATAGGTTACGGGTAGTGTTCTCACTTTCAGAGGCAGAAACAAACCCAGAGGAGTCAAATAATTTGGCAGGATCACACAGCTTGTCAGTGATGGTTGTGGGAATGAGGAATGAGCCTAGAGTCTGAGCCCTAACTTTGACACCATTTGTGTCTGATCGCATAAAGGACAAAAGAAAGTGGTGGGAATAATCCATACTCAAATATTAGCCCTCTCCCTCCCACGGACCCCTGTTTACCATTTCTATACAGATGAGGCATCACTCAGATTAGAGGACGTAGATCCACCCCAAGGGAGCTCCTGTGGCCTAGCGGCAAGAAGCTGCACTGCCATCCACAAGGCATGCATTTCAAGGCCACCAGCTGCTCTGGAGAAGCATGGACAGTCTCCTCCCCTGTGTTTAACTACCTCTGAAAACCTATCGGAGGGTCAACTATGGCTTCGTTCTGACTCTACAGTGCACAACACAACAAGACAGATCCACCCCACGGCACGTGCAGTTCCAATAACAGCAAGGCTTTATTGAAATTATAATTTGAGGAAACAGAATGAATCCCAGCTTGTGGATTACACTCAATTTAGAAAATCAAGTTACTTTTTAAAAAATTTTAAGCTGCTCTTTCTTCTCCCCTCTGCATATAGAAGGCAAATGCAATGTACAACAAAACTCTCCCACCCCAACAATTCTCAATATGCAAGGATTTTTAAAAGTAATACAACTATAATGCTTTATTTTTTAAAAAATCAAACATTGCAAAAGGAGATTATAAAAAATGCATCTCCTTCTGACTCCTGAATATTGTTGTTGATTTTGAGTACTGTCCAGTCGGAACCTACTCTAATGTGACCCTCCAGCAGGTTTGCAGAGGCAGTAAATCACAAGAGATTGCCCATCTTTCTGCTATCGAACAACAGGTGAATTTGAACCATGTACCTTTGGTTTGGCAGTACAATTCCTTACCACTAAGCTACCATTGTCCTCTGATTATTAGATATGCAAATTAACTCCACAGAAGTAATTGTATTATGCATATAAAAAATAAATATATACCACTCTCACCTTTTCCACAATAGCAACATAGCACATCCTTTGCGTAGTCCGTGTGGATTTCGCTTACCATAGCTGGGAGAATGAGTTGTTGTGAGATGCAACTGAAACTCATTACTAACTCACAACTACCCCCTGCTTTATGAAGCACAATTGCGGCATAGGGGTTTCTTGGCTAGAATCTTTCTGAAAGCATGTCAATAGTCCTTTTGTGAAACTGTTGTTGTTAAGTGCCATTGAATCGCGGACGACTCATAACGACCCTATGAAGGAGAGTCCTCAGCACTTGGGTGTCTCTCATCCTCTCTTCAGGTTCATAGGGTTTCCGGAGGCAAGCTATTATGGAAGTAGATGCCACTTCTGCTTCCAAGCTTGTTTTAATCAGGGAGCTCCACCCCACTCTCTGTTGCAGCATGGCCATATAAAAAATCCAAAGTACCCCTTTTCATGGCTATATAATATTCCATTATAAATGTATTCCAGTCTATTGTTGATGATCATTCTGATTTATCTAGGCTGGTGGCCTCGTCCATAAAAAGTTGTTGCATCATCATTGTAAAGGTAGGGGTTCAAATGCACCAGTTTCTCCTTGGGAGAAAGATGGGCAGTCTCATCCTGTGTGGTTTATAGCATCTTAAAACCCACTAAAGAGTCAGCTATGAGTCTGTTCTGTCCCAGTGGTAATGACTTTGAAGTTTGTTTTGTTGTTTGTTTTTCTTCCTTTTTGGTCTTTTATTAATTAAAGGTAGTTCTGTTGATATCTTTATGTCTAAATATTTGCATCTTGTACAATTCAATCAGTACTGAATATTATTTGTAAGTTCATATTATGTAACTTGCTGACAGTGGTGGGAATTGGCCAGAAGAAGGAAGGGGAAAGGCAATACAATGAAAACAGATGGACTTATCAGGGCCCTGTGCACTCCAGAAATATCTCTAAATGTGTTTTAAGTGCATTTTCCTCTTATTCCTCTTATTGTACCCAAAATCCTTTTCTTGGACCCTTTCCCTGGTTACCCAGGGAGCAATGAGTAGCTTCTGTTTGCAAGGTTGATTCATTTGGCACCTTTGTTGGACTTTTGACAGGTGGTTTATAAGAATAATGACATCCGGTTGGAACTGTCTCGCCTGGCTCGAATTGGGGACACGAAGATGAAAATTTATGGTGAAGTTGTGTTCAAATGTGAGAATGTGGCCACCCTGGACCCCATCAACTTTGAGACCCCAGAGGCTTACATCAGTTTGCCCAAGTGGAACACCAAGCGAATGGGTTCCATCTCCTTTGACTTCCGCACCACTGAACCCAATGGCTTGATTCTCTTCACTCATGGAAAGCCCCAAGAGAGGAAGGATGCTCGGAGCCAGAAGAACGCAAAGGTGGACTTCTTTGCCGTGGAGCTCCTTGATGGCAACCTGTATTTGCTGCTTGACATGGGCTCCGGCACCATTAAAGTGAAAGCTACTCAGAAGAAAGCCAATGATGGAGAATGGTACCATGTGGACATCCAGAGAGATGGCAGATCAGGTAAGAGAGGCACAGAGTGTGACTGAGAAAAGGAAAGCTGTAGAATTGCACGTTTTCTTTCTTTTTTCTTTTTCTTTTATTAATTTTAATGAAAGTTTGCAAAGACTTGTGGTTTCCAGCCATTCATTGTTGCACTTTTCTCTCTGCCCCCACCCCCAATTCACTCTTCTCCTTGTAAAGAAAAACTCTTTCATTATTATGCAATCTCCACCCCCCCCACACACACCCCCCACCCCCAAGTCCACAACACTATACAGTCTTCACTCTGGACTTCTATAATGACAAGAATACCTATTCATATATCCCTTTTAAACAGTTCTCTTCCTCATATGTTTCAATGCAATATTCATCATTCCTCCCCTCCTTTTCTGTCTTTTCTCAACCCTGATGTCAGTTTATTTAAGGTTTGTCCTTGCATGCTTGTTGATGGGACTCCTCTGTAACGGTTGCTCTAAGATGTTTGTCTCTGAACAAGATACGTAGTTCAACAACACTCATGTTTCTTCTTTGTACCCCAGTTCCTCTCAGTGATATCTCCACTGCCCTGTGGCAATTGTCCTTTCTTCCCAAAGTGACCCCATGTCACTGTTGTGATAGTGTTTTCTCATGCCATGCACCCTTACCCCTTTTTATCTTCTTTCCCCCCCACCCCATTACTGTAGAAACCAACTGTGACATCACTGGTGCCTAATGTGGTTACTCTGTAGGATAAACTGCATATATGCTGCAGAGTTTATGCAATGATACCCTTTTTCAGTAATTGGCTAGTCATGTTGCAGGGAGAAATTATGACAAGAAAGGGAAAGGCAAATTAATTTTTCTTGAAGTCATGTTCAATTTTAAGCCTTCCTTTGGTGTGAAAGCCTGTATTTCTCTCCTCTCTCAGACCTCACTCAGATTCTCCCTTCTTCTTCATAACCTTTTACATTTGGTTTAAATGGCTTTGTTTGTTTCTGCAGCTGCAGATCAAACAAGCTAGCCCCAGGCAGTACATAGTCACTCTGGAATAGTAACAAAGAGATCTGAGAGAAGGGGGGAGAAAAGAAAACAACCCACAGAATGAGAGAGCCCAGGGCTTTTGAAAGTCTGAACACTCTGCCTTGCTGCTCCGTACCTTGTGGCAATGAAGGTCACTGTTGTGTGCCATCAGAAAGGTCATTTCTCTAAAAGCCATAATTGGAGCATTTGAATTTCAGACTTATTTCCTAATTCTCCTTCTAGGTAGTACATGTTCACAAAGGTGGTTTGCTATATTTGCCATATTTGTAAAGATCTCCTCTCCCAGTGTTACTGAACACAAGGGGTTCTTTCTGTAGTCAATTGCCAATAAGACAGACCCATTGCAATATCTATAAGCACTTTATTACAGATCTGGGAGGACAGTGAGTTCCCCTCAAAAACTGCCTCCCCGTATAGTAGGCTTTTATACCAGGGTTAGACACTAACTCACTCAACAATGCACCTTTGTTAGTAAAATCAAAGAATTTCTGCACTTGAAAAAAATTCACACTCAGGTACCAGCAAACAGGCAACCTACAAAAATAGTTAACACAAGACTGAGAAAAACAGGGCCCTGAAATGATAAAGGCTAACTTAAGAAAGGCACACCTCCCCTTCTGGCAAACAGGCAGATTAAAATATAATTTACATATGGTTTGGAAAACCAGTTTCAGAGAGGTAAACCCTGATCTAGGAGAGATGCATTTCCTCTCCTGGTAAACAGGCAGCTTAAACTGTTTTACATGACTAAAGAAAGGAAGCAAAGAATTCTAAGGCAAAGCAACTAGTTTTGCAGACTGGAGAAACTGATGGCAGTTTTATAACTATATAACTATAGTTGTATATAGTTATAAAAGTTATTAAAAAAGTTATATAGTTATAGTTTTATATAACTGACACATATTTAGAAAATTCTGAATTTATTAATACCACCCCAACAGTAGTGAAAGAGCAAAAGGCTTCCATATGCAGATTGTACTTCTAGGTGCATTTCAATTAGTAAGACAATGCAATAGGCCCACCCCCACCCCCCAAAGCTGCAGCCAGAAGTGACAGTGCCTTGGTGGAATGGCTTTCTGTATGCCCGGAGAGCTAGAGGGCTTGTAGGAATGAGCAACATTGCCCTCGAGAAGAGCTGGATGGTTCTGTGCAGAGGGCAGGCAAGTGGCAGACTGCAACCCTGGGTGGTTTATTGCCCAGCAAGACGTTTTATTGATTGCCTGAAATCTGATCAGTACCAAGAGACTTTGAATTAAATGTGTTCACTGGGCAACAATGAACAGTGTGTGCTTTTTTAACAGGGAAGCACACAGAAATTAATTCTCTGAAGATCAGCTCAATCTTTCCTCGTTTCTCTTCCTCTCTGTTGTTTTCCCTCTCTCTTTTTCCTATCCTTCACTCACTGTCCTCCTTTCAAGCTTATCCATAACATGTAAATAGTGGCAGAGCCGCAGAGAAAGGCAGTCTCAGAATTCCCAGAGAAACACTCCTGCTGGTTGCTATATGCTCTATGTGTGGGCTTTCTGATGTTGGATTGTAGTTGAGGCTTTAGTGTCTGGCTGATCTAGACCTTACCCAAAGTATGTGAGTATATGACAACATGGACAAACAGCATGCATGTACTGGTGGAACAGTCCTTGGAAAATAATATAATCCTCAGTGGGCATGGGGGGTGGTGAACAACAGAGGATCAATTAAAAAAATAGAGATCTTTAATGAGTTGGATTGACCAACTCATTCATGAACCAGCAGTGGGCTGGAGTATGTCTGAAATCATGAGGATAGTGTGAGAGAGAACAAGGTTTCAATTTGTTGTTGACTTGATTCCACTTAAAAACAACACTCTAACACCTCACCTAGATGAAGAGTTGTATACGAGTATCAAAATGGAGCTAGATTATATACAATTGCCACCTCTATTTCTAGTCCATACCTGATCCCTATACCAATTTTTGCTAGAATCATCGATTGGCCTGTACTCACTATGTTGTTGTGCACTGTAGAGTCAGAACCAACCTCTGGTGACCCTCCAGCGGGTTTTCAGATGCACGGGAGGAGACTGCCCAACCTTCTCCTGAGGAGCAATTAGTGGATTTGAACTGCATACCTTTGAGATTAAGAGATATATATGAATTTTAGGAACCTTAAATTTCACACCTGGGAACGATAGCAGTGGTCAATGCTTAGAAGTGCTGATAAATTTTGTCAAATCCTATTAAGAACCACCAAGCGAAGAGTTAACTATTCCATGAAAACTGTATATCTTAAATTTTTTAATGTAATCAATTTATCAGGCACACCTTAGCTCTGTTGTACGAGTTGGAATTTGTTTGATGACATCCAACAACAACAGCAGCAGCACTAAATATCATTCCATCAGTGTAGTATATTATTTTGTATTACACATTTTAACAAAATTAGACACATAAAAATATATAAATATGATACTCCTTTCTTTGGGCATGACTGAGAAATGACCTAGAAAAACTTCTCTGATCATGCCCCAATTGGGAAACTGTTTCTTAAAACTTGATATTGTTGTTGTTGGTTGACAAGTCTTTCTATAATGATTGTCATTTCTCCAAGTTCAGAGGCATGTTGTTTAGGAAGTGAATGCCACTCCTGCTTCCAAAACTTGATATATGCACTAAAAAAAAATCTGCAGTCTCACATCAGAGGATAGCTTCTTCTCGGCACGTGTATTAGGAGCCACAATTCCAAACTGCTTTAGTTCTATCCTGCCTTGGCAATAGGTATTCTTCCTATGATCAGATAGCTCAGTGGACACAGTAGAGGGAAAGGAAGACTTTGTATAAGACAGGAAGAAAGACACCGTCTCTGATCTCTACTTTGTAAAACAGAGAAGGTGCTAATGTTTATCTCAGGAGATTGTGGTGAGGATAAAGCACAAAAGACTATAGTAAACTCTTAAAATGGTGTCCAAGATGTTGTTATTGGTGTGTAGGGTTTTTTGTGTTAAAATATATGTGATAAAACACATGCCATTTCCACTGTTTTTAGTAAGCATTCATAATCAAGAGAGTGTACAACTCTTACGTATCACTTTCTTTTTAATTTTTCATCAACTCACCCTTCAGTGCCTTTTACGCAGTAACTCCCCATTCCTCCTCCTTCCCCATCCCTCCTCCTTCCCCATCCCTGTTTCTTGTTGTTGTTGTTGTTATGTGCAGTCCAGTCAAGTCGTTTTGCGACCTTACCAAGGACTCTCTCCTTACAACATGTCCAAAGTATGTCAGACGAAGCCCCAGAATCTTTGCCTCCAAGGAGTAGCCTGGTTTAACCCTCTCCAGGATGAATCTGCTTACTGCTATTAAATTTGGTCTGTATGCACTTGCCTATTTTAAACATTTCATCCAATGGGTGGGGACGGGGGGGGGGGGTCATACAATGACTGACTGACGACCTGTCTCTGACTTATTTCATTCAGCATAATGCTTTCAAAATTCATTCATGTCTCAGGACTTGATTTCTCTCAATGGCTGGATATTTTCCATTGGATGCATGAGAGCATTTTGTTTAGTCATTCATTTGCTGATGAGGCCAGGTCATTTCTTGAAAGATCAAAAAAGAAGTAAAGTCAATTTCTCTAGGAGAAAAATTCTAGGAAAGAGTCAGGAAAGGCATGCTTGTTAGTTTAAACCTCCCATAGGCCTCTGGAGGCCCTTTCTAGGCTGGTGACAGCATCATAGTTTAGATGATGCTTCACTTTCCTGATCTCATTTGATCTCCTCAGCCCTTCAGGTTATACCCTTCAGAGCTGAGGGAATTTGGATTGAGACAGAAATGAAGGCTGGCTGATGGATGGCAGAACTCAGCTTCGTACCAATAAAGCTCCTTAAAAATAACAAATAATTGTTTTCAAAATTTCTGGCATGGTGTTTAGCTGTCATTTAGTTCAGTTATTTTATTTTCAAGTTTAGGAAGTTGCACCATAAAGTATTTCAGGACCTGGCCTAGTGAGAGTTCATTGAAGACTCTAACCTCTGTTCCCACATTCTCACATCAGACTCTGGGCTTCCATCTTTTGTATAACCTGAATGATGGTGACATGCGCCAACCCTGGCCTTGGCCTTGCCTCTCTCTGAACTCATTGCTACAGTCTCCTCCCTGCCTCCTCCTTCCCCGCCTCAGGGCCTTTGTAGGTGACATTCCCTCTTCCAAGCAGACCCCTCATCTTTGCAAACCTGGATCCTTCTCGACATTATGCTTCAGTGTTTTAGTTATCTAATGTTGCTATAACAGAGATATAATACATAGATGGTTGGGGTGGTGGTGGTGTACCATCAAGTCAGACCAACCCATAGCTGACTCTCTGGCTGGTTTTCAGAGGCGGTGAATCACATGGGAGGAGATTGGCCATCCTTGTCTCGTGGCTGAACTGGTGCATTTGAACCGCATGCCTTCTGGACTGCAGAGCAGCTTCTTTCCACTAGGCCACCAGTACTCACAAATACACAGATTATTTATTTTCTCATGATTGAGGATAGAGGTCCAACCTCAGGGTACAGGCTCTAGGGAAACAATTTCCCTGTTTATGTTTAGGAGTTTCTCAGCTCAGGAACCTGAATTCAAAGGATGCACTCCACTCCTGGCTCTTGTTTCTTGGCGGTAATTAGTTCTCCCCAGTCTCTCTATACTTTTATCTGCTATCATGTTTTGGGTTTTGTCGTGTTTGTTTTGGCTTTTTGGGTTTTGTTTTGGGTTTTTTTGTTGTTGTTTTTTTTTTACAGAGGTTTTGGATTTCCATTCGTTCATTGCCGCAATTTTCTCCTTGCCCACCCCTCCCCACCAGCTCACTTCCCCCTCAGAAGACAGAAAAAAAAGAAAAAAAAATTCCTTCATTAGTATACAATTCCCACGTCCCTTCCCCCCACTCCCCACCCCTAGTACACTTCTCTATGCAACCTTAATTCTGGATTCCTGTGCTAACCATAATACTCAATCATTTATCACTTCTAATCTGTTCTTTCCCTCATCTGTTTCAAACTGGATAAATGATGTATATTGTTTTTGTTTTTGTTTTTAAGACAAAAGTGACGTAGGCTATACCCCAAGCAAACTCCCTTTATGTCTGAGCAGCTCTGCAACCTGATTAAGGTTGTTCCATCCCACCTTAATTCTCTTTATAACAGACTGGCTGCTCCCATGAAGGGGAATCGTTTATCGTTATATAACTGCTTCTGATCCTCCTGAGTATCATAGATGTTAAGATTGTCCAAACACAGGATAACTGCCCAGTACTGAGACTTATGACTAGCCAAATTGACACCAACCTTAAGTATGACTTTCCATTTTAAGTAGAACGCATGGGCTCATATGCTTTAGTATCATTTTACCCAACTCAGAGCACCTGGATTCGGGGGAATGTGCTAATTCCTTCTATTTGTTAGCTTGGGGTGTTTTTTGTTTTTTTCTGGGATAAGCTTGTCAAGTTTATCTTGTGTTTTTAGTGCTTAGAGTGACAGCTGAGATATGTTTCAGATTAGGTTTTTCTCTTATGGGAGAGGGTTAAACCAGGCTGCTTCTTGGAGGCAGAGATTCTGGGGCTTCGTCTGACATACTTTGGACATATTGTAAGGAGGGACAAACAGGTCCTTGGAGAGGGTCATCATGCTTGGGAGGGTGGAGGGACAGCACAGGAGGAGAAGACCCTCTTTGAGGTGGATTGATTCAGTGACTGGGGTAATCAGGATGGGTGTGTCAGAGGCAATGAGATTGGCACATGATAGTGCAGGGTTTAGGGCTGTTGTACATAGTGTTGCTATGAGTCACAAGCAACTCAATGGCACATAACAACAACAACAAGCAACTCAGGCACATAACAACAACAACAGGAGATAATGACCAATGATGAGGATTAAGACAAACCTCAGGGTTTTGATACTTTATATCTGCATCAAGTTATATAAAGATATTCAGAGAGATATGTTGTTTTTATTGAGTACTGTTGAGAAGCAATGCATAGCTGATCCTTCAGTGAGTTTTCAGAGACCTTAAATTGCATGGGAAGAGAGTGCTTATCTTTCTCTCATAGACTAGCTGGTGGCTTTGAACCATGTGCCTTCAGGTAGACCATGCATCTCCTTAGCACTAGGTCATATCAATATAGCAAAAACCTTCACTGATACTGAGTCAGAACCGACTCATAGCTGATTCTCCAGTGAGTCTTCAGGAGGCTGTAAATCACATGGTAGAGGATTGTTCATGTTTCTCCTGTGGAGCCATTGTCAGAGTTGAACCACCAGAGAGTGTCTGCCTTTGGGTTAGCAGAAAAACTCCCTACACTCGACAGAAATTGCCAACAGAGCATATATATATATATTTTTTTTTTCTATCTTTGTCTGTCCTGTCTGTTTGTCTATCTTTGTCTGTCCTGTCTGTCTGTCTATCTCTGTCTGCCTATCTGTCTATCTATCTACTATGGTGGATTTGAACTGTGTGCCTTTGGATTGCAGCACAGCTTGTGTGTGTGTGTGTGTGTGTGTGTGTGTGTGTGTGTGTGTG